ACAGAGAAAATGTTATTTTAGTGCCAGGAATGTCTGCATTGTTTATTCTGGACCCTATTTTGAAATTGGCATCTGTTGAAATTTGTGTGAAATTGGCCAAATTGCCAATTTCTAACCACTTTATTGGGTAGTTGAAATAAGTGAATGGGCAGTTTCTTGTACTCAGTTGACAGACTAGAAGTAAATAAGTTTATTCAGGTATACACAAATACAGTTACATAGATTATCATACATAGCAGTGTATGTATAGAGAACCTAGGATACCCCAGAAAAGTCAGACAAAGTGACTTATTTCCAGTACCTGGCTTGGGCTTGCCATATATGATTTTTGGCAAATATTTTTTTTTCTCGGTTGTTTGTTGGGCTATCTCATTGAAATTTGGGCAATGTATGATGGAAAGATGCTTCTTAACGTACAACAAAAATAAAAAAAGACTGACGATAAATAAGGGAGTTCACTCCTCAGCCGCCTCTCTGCAGTATATTTTCGTATGGTTTTTATGGTTGTATTCTCATTTTTTGGACTCATTTGATAGAATGGAAGATACATTACAGAAAGAGACATGATTCTGATTGCTTTCACGATGAAAAGTACCTTGAAATTGAGCTCAAAGTAGCGGAAATGTTCGATTTTTGCTGATGTTCAATGAACTGTGTAAGTCAAGTTGGTTAATTTTAATAAGTGTATTCTAACCTAACCACTCTGTAATTCGGCAAACTCAGTAATCCGGCACACTACAGGTCCCAATGATGCCGGATTTGTGATGGAGGACCTGTATCATTTATTCTTCATGAAGTATTTATTGTGCATGTACCATTGTTTTCTGTGTAGGAAAAGGTATACAGTGGACCCCCAACGTACGATGTCCCCAATCTACGTTAAAACCAAACTATGATGCTTTTCAGCGTAAAAATTTGACCCTGACGTATGTTGAAAAACTGAATCTACAGCATTCGTCCGGTACACGTCCACATGTCTGTCTGCCTGAGCACGCCTCAGCTGGCCTGCCTTCAGTTAGTGTGCCTATGTTTACAAGCCAGAGCGGTCCCTCCCATGCATACATTCAGAATATCTTGTATTATTCCAGTGTTTTTAGTGTTTCTAACTGCTAAATAAGCCACCATGAGCCAAAAGAAAGCTTCTAGTGCCAGCCCTATAGTAAAAAGGGTGAGAAATATTATCGAAATACTGTCATACCACGGTGAGCTGCTGCTGCTGTAGCACCGTCAGCTACTGCTGCTGCTGCTGTAGCACCGTCAGCTACTGCTGCTGCTGCTGTAGCACCGTCAGCTGCTGCTGCTGTAGCACCATCAGCTGCTGCTGCTGTTGCTGCTGTAGCACCACCAGCTGCTGCTGCTGCTGCTGTAGCACCGTCAGCTGCTGTTGCTGCTGCTGTAGCACCATCAGCTGCTGTTGCTGTAGCACCGTCAGCTGCTGCTGCTGTAGCACCGTCAGCTGCTGCTGCTGCTGTTGCTGCTGTAGCACTGTTGTTGATGTGGCTTATCGAGAACAGTGAGAAACAATTAACCCCAGAGGATTAGCCGCCCAGGATAACCCAAAAAAGTCAGTGTGTCATCAAGGACTGTCTAACTTATTTCCATTGGGGTCCAAAACCCTTTCAGGGTTTTGGCCGTACTAGTATGGCTTATGCCCCAGGGTTTTTGACGTACGAGTACGCCTAAATTCTAGCACCCTCAAATCTAATGAGAGAAAGCTGGTAGGCCTACATATGAAAGAAAGGGTCTATGTGGTCAGTGTGTGCAGTATAAAAAAAAATCCTTCAGCACACAGTGCGTAATGAGAAAAAAAAAAAATTTGACCATGTTCTTGGATTAAAACAGCGACTTCGCACTGTATTTTTGTATGGTATTTATTACTGTATTCTAGTTTTCCTGGTCTCATTTTATAGAATGGAAGACATATTACAGAAATTGAGATGATTTTGACTGGTTTTACAATGAAAAGTACCTTGAAATTGAGCTCAAAATAGCAGAAATGTTCGATTTTTACCAAAGTTCAAAAGTAAACAAATCATGCCAAGCGTCCAATACACATCAACTGGTGAGTCTAATATTCTTTCACAAGTGCACTGATATTATTTATACCATTTCTACACTAATGCAGTAGTCTGCATAACAGCAAATCTTCTATTTTTTGTAAGAATAAAAATTCAAAGTGGAAAGCCAAAGAAATATAAGAGGGACCTGGGGATGTGACTAACGAACAGCGAACTTGTTATTTTAGTGCCAGAAATGTCTTTCTTGTTTATTCTGGACCCTATTCAGAAATTGGCATCTTTTGAAATTCGTGTGAAATTGGCAAAAATTGCTAAATTCTAACCACTGTATTGGATAGTTGAAATTGGTAAATGGGTGGTTTCCTGTACTCATTCGATAGAAAAAATGGAGTTCTAGTGAAATAGTTATGATTTTTGTCGACTAGTACACTGGAATTGGCCGAAAATAGGGTTCAAAGTGGGCAAAATCGCTGATGCGTAAACATCGTCAAGACTGCTAACTTCGCGAGAGCATAATTCCGTAAATTTTCCATCAAATTTCATATTTTTGTTGTCATTATGATCGGGAAAAGATTCTCTATCTTTTAAAAGAAAAAATAATTTTTTTTTTAAATTTGGGGGACCCTGAGAACAAGTCTCTGAGAGGGCCTGTGGACCCTGAAAGGGTTAATCTTGTCTCCCAGGATGCGACCCACACCAGTCGACTAACACCCAAGTGAACAGGAAAAAATGCCTGGAACTAGTGCTCATATTGGTGAATTTAAGGCCAGCAAAGGTTGGTTTAAGAGATTTAAGTATCGTAGAGGCATACACAGTGTGATAAGGCCTGTCCTGGAAAAAAATGCCAAACAGGATCTACATTACTCAGGAGGAAAAGGCACTCCCAGGACACAGTGTCTCATCAGTCATTGCTGCATCTTCAATAAAGGTGTCATTTATTCTTCATTTAGTAGAGTAGTCCATGCACAATATACAGGTACCATCTGACTTATGACCGAGTTCAGTTCTGACAAACCGGTCATATTTTTGTAATGACTTTATTTTATTGTTTTATTTTGGTATTTCATTTTTTACTTTACTTTTTATGCTGTTAGTACTGTATTTTATACTGTAAGGTTTAGGATAAACACTGTGTAGAACACAAACAGCTGTTTATTTCCCAGAAATTTGGCATAGAAAACACGGTCGTAAGTTGAATGGTCGTATGTTGAGCAGGTCGTAAATCAGATGGTAGGTGTATATTGTGCATGTACTACTCTACTATTGTGCATGTATCCTTCTTTTTGTGTAGAGGAAAATGTATATTTCATGTGGTAAAAATTTTTCTTTTCGTACTTTTGGGTGTCTTGCACGGATTAATTTGATCTCCATTATTTCTTATGAGGAAAATTAATTCAACCTACGAGCATTTCGTCTTACGATGGGATCTCAGGAATGGATTAATATCGTAGGTCGGGGGACCACTGTATTTCATGTGAAAAAAAAAATTCATACTTTTAGGTGTCTGGAATGGATTAATTGGATTTCTATTATTTATGGGGGAAATTAAATCCGCTAACGATAAATTCAGTAAAGGACAAGCTCTCTGGAATAGATTAATATCATTGGTCGAGGGTTCACTGTATCTGAATACACTCACTCCCACCTTCCTATTTGATATCCAGTCTTGCATTACCTAATTTTTTGTTTTTTCAACAAACCAGCCGTATCCTATCGAGGCAGGGTGGCCCAAAAAGAAAAACGAAAGTTTCTCTTTTTAAATTTAGTAATTTATACAAAAGAAGGGGTTATTAGCCCCTTGCTCCTGGCAGAAATTTTTTGTTATCACTATTTTTCCCATATGTTATCAGTATTCTGAGGGAATAGATTAGGAGTGACATCGTGACAGTTGAAGTTTTAATACATTTCTTCCTTGCCCCCACTGTACCATGGTTAGTATATAGTGTAATTCACCCACTCTCACTTTCTCATTTGCCTGAATCTATAATACAGTGGACCCTCAACCAACGGCATTAATCCGTTCCAGAGAGCTAGCCGTTAGCCGAATTTGCCGTTGGTCGAATTAATTTTCCCCATAAGGAATAATGGAAATCCGATTAATCCGTTCCAGACAGCCAAAAGTATTAAAAAAATAATTTTTTTTCTACATGAAATATACATTTCCTTATGCAGAAAACAATTAGACATGCACAATACATACATAAATACTAAAATGACATTTACCTTTATTGAAGACTATTGTTGAGTGATGAGACACTGTTTTTCTTGAACACTCTGGGATTTTCAGAGTGATACATGAGTAAATGCTTCACTTTGCAATCCCCACTAGCATTACAACAAAACAAGAAGGTTAGCCTGTCTTTTGTCATTATGTCATTACGAGTTCCATAAACCACACTGTGTGCCATCACCCTTTGTCACCTATTCTTCATCAAGCTATAATAATTGGAGCTTAGAGTTAATGTAGTTGGCAATGCAGACAACAAAGAAATGCAGGAGAGCAAATGTGAAGAAATGAACCAGATGACTTACTTTTCATTTTGAAAAGTGATCATATGCGCTAGTGCAATAAGGAGTCTATCTACAGAAGTTCAAGGAATACTACCACAAGGAGGAATTTTTTATATTTCAAAACATACTGTATGCACATGCATGTTAATAGTGGATTTTATTCTTTTTGCAACAGCCATTAACATTTAAGGATGCCAATGTATGTATTTAGAGAAAATCAGAAAGAACAAGTTATCTACCACAGCTGAATTACAATCAACTCGGGGTCTACAGAAGACACATGGATTGAGATGGGAGAGTGGAACTATGTCAAATATATACATAAGGCTAAGAGGAAGAAATAATACCATATATTACTGCTGTCAGGAAAATTAAAATGCCGAATATGAAAAACAACCAAACAGTTCATACACAAATGAAAATCATTGCACATCAATGGACATCTAACAGAGCCACAATTTGTTTACTCACATGGACAGAAAGCTCTTGACTCGCAGAAAGGATCTAAAGAAATAAACAAATTACAAAAGTAAAGAACCGAATGCAAGTCCACAAGTTACACTATTTTCTAAGTATGAATTTTCAAATACTATTCCAAACACAATTTTATTACGTCCAATCAGCCACTGTGGAATTTGAAGAATTTCAATGAGGAAAATTATATGATATTTAAATTTTCATGAAAATGGTATGCCTTGCAAAAATATTACCTCCTTAAAACAATATATTGCACATCATAACAGATATATTTGGAACAAGATACAGTTTATCATCAAATAAGATGCATACTCTTTATGTTTCTTACAAAAGAAATTTTCTAAAAATGAAAATAGGCTTTCTTGGGTTATTTTCCCCAGTATATACCTCTTCAAGGGGGGCTCCTTGGCATGGTGAAGAGGCTCTTGGTCTGAGGAATTAAACCTGTTGGTCTCCTTCCTCAGACCGAACCTAATTACCCCCCAATCCCCCCTTCCCTATCCCATCCTCCCTTTTTCCTTTCCTCCTCCTCCTCCCCACCCCTCCCTTTTGCCCTTCCTCTTTTTGGCCTTTGGGATTTTTCCCACAGGCACGCTACTTCCTTGGTAGGGGAAAGGATACTGAGGTCCATCCCATTCCGTTGAGGTTCTTGGCTGTGGTGTAGTTTGCTGTGGAATCTGGATCACCAGAGGATGCCCCAATCCCTCTCCGGTCTCCCGGGGGGTGGCTTTGGGTGTCTTTCGGGCGACGGGTGTATCTCTGGAGGCTGCCTTTCGGATTCCAGGGGTGGTGGCCAAAGGAGATATGCTTTGTGGCGGATATCCGGCCCCCCTCTCTTTTGTCCACCGAGGTAGCTCAGCAGATGTGAGGTTGCTATCCCAGACTGCTGGTTTACTGGCATAAAGGGTAGGGTATGGCACGGGTTCCATGCCACATCTGCACTACTTGCGGTGCTGAGGTCCTCTTGGGCGCGGAGGGAGATTTCTGGCCCTTTCATTCCTCCTAGGAACTATCCCTCCCCAGTCCCCCCCCCAACCTAACCATGGAGGACCCAATCCATGACCCCGCTACCTCCGGGCCCCTTCTTGTTACCGCACCCCGTTCTGACCCCGCCTCGTCTTTTGACCACTCTTCGGACACTCCTAAGGCCCCTGTACCTCTTGCTGGTGCTGTTTCATCCTTCGATTTGTCTGACCTCTGCTCTCCTTTGATTATGCTTCCAGCCTCTCCCTCTACGGTGTGGCAATTTTCAAATCGCCAGCCCATCCCACGTCAGACCAACTCTGGTCCCACTCCTAAACGCCAACGACAATTGCCTGATGATACTTCTTTGCTACCTTCTCGCTCTACTCAGAAAAGACCGACACGTCGTGCTCTCCCTTTCCACGCTCAGTTTCAGAATGCACAATGGACTAAATTCTTTATACTTTATGACCGACTTCCTCTATTGCCTATCTTTCCGACCATAGTATTGGCAAGGTGCTCCTTCGCCATGTTGGTAGAGACATTTCCTTTCATGCTCTCAAGAGCGGTACCTACATCATCACTGTCCAGAATGCCACCGAAGCTCGTGATCTTTCTCTTCTTTCACATATCGACACTATTCCTGTCACTATCGAAAAACATCATTCCCTCAATTCTTGTAGTGGTACTGTTATTCTGCCCCATACCATAATCCAACAGAATTTCCAGACATGTGGCAATGACATTCTTGAACAGCTGGAACTTCAAGATCTCCCAATCCTCAAAATAGACGCTTAAGTCCTTCCTGCCCGCAGTCGGAGACATTACCCTTGCAATGTCGCTCAATTAACTTTCGACAGCTGTGAACTCCCATCCTCTGTTTATGTAGCAGGACATCACTTACACGTTCGAAAGGTGATCCCTACACCGCAACAGTGTAGAAACTGCTGGCGATTTGGTCACCCTGCAAAATATTGCAGATCTATAGCCGAATGCCCAGGCTGTGGTGCTGATGACCATTCTAATACGTCTTGTAGTCGACCTCCCTCTTGCCTTAACCCTTAAACAGTCCAAACGTATATATACGTTCTTACACGTAGCGTCCCAAACGTATATATATGTTTTATTTTTCCTGCCTTCAAATTTGGCACAATTGGCCTGAGATGCCTTGTCAGCATAGAATGGGTCCTAACACTCAGTGTGCGCAGTATTAAAAAAATCTGGGACCACTTAGTACCTTGTGGGAGCGCCAATTAAATTGAGTGCCAGTTAGAGCAAACAGTGTGGCAAACACCAAGGATTCACTGATGTAATATCATATTGAGGACCCTATCATCCAATTATTTGCGCGCTCTCAAAAAAAAAAAAAAAAAATATGGAAATTGAGTTATTCATATAGAAAAATAGCTTAACTCTTTGGCAACACAATGGTACAAGAATCAATGTTCTACAACAGAAATTATAGTCATTTATATCAGGTAAGGTGACGGCGATATGGGTAGCGCGTCTGCTCACAGCCCATATATTTTTTGGATTTTTTCTTGTTTTTTTATCACTTTTTCTTGCATTATTCTTTCTAATATAATAATTGACTATTTGGCATCATAAAACAGTAGGCGGAGCTTATACATAGACTTCAAGCCAATCAGGAACCATCTGGGAACACCGGCAGTATTCCCCTCCAGAGAGCCAGGAGAAATCACTTCATTATTACGCTTATATCACTCTATGGTTTATTTATCTATCAGAATTGATCTAATATGATATAATAAACACTATAAATAACATACAAACATGTTATATACTCTAGACTGAATAAAATAGGCCATAATATGGCGATAGTCCACCAGCAATATTTCGTTATAAATGAGTTACTCGTCTCCATGTCGTATTCTTTGGTCTTCAGTGATAGAAAATGGTATTTTGAAGAAGATAACTGCACTAGAACATCAGTTTACTAAGAAAACCACCCAAACAAACGCGATTTTTGCGAAAAAAAAAAATTTGAGACGGCGGGCCGGCAGGCGCTCCAGGCCAATATCTTGGAAGTAACTTATTCACTTATTTTGCTAAAGTAAGCCTTTACTACTTAATTAAGTGGAATAATATTCACAGAAATTGTAAAATAATGATTTCTCTAATTTCTGATGGTACATTTTTGGAAATATTCCAAATATTTTGGGATTTATGTGGGAGTAAAGGGCAGATTTTTTTGCAACATTCCAAGAACTAACAAACTTTACTTTGTTTTTTTTTGTGAAATAAAGATAAGATATTTAGAGGAAAGGAAACCGTGAGAAATTCGTATAAGCATTGTTCTCTCGGCACCAAGTGCCCAAACAACCTTACGTCGTCCCATACAGGACTACCTTCCTGCCAAAGGGCATTTTCAGTAAATCAGTCCTTTTTCAGTCTTTTCTCAGTTGTTGTTTGAGGTATCTTATTGACAAATATTTACAGGAATTAGAGAAAATACTTCGTCTTGTGCACCAAAACTGAAGGACATCTGATGGTAAACAAAAAAGCAAAAATTAATTGGACGATAGGTCCAATTAATTTTATGAGGAAAGTGATGTTAACCCCAAGTTTAGGGTCTGTCTATCTCTGTATCTCTGTCTATTTCTATCTCTGTCTTCCTCTGTCTACCTCTGTCTCTGTCTATCTGTCTTTATCTATCTGTCTCTCTTTCAATCTCTCTCTCTGTCTGTCTATCTCTGTCTCACAGGTACACATAAATACAAGTATATACAGTGGACCCCCGGTTTACGATATTATTTCATTCCAGAAGTATGTTCAGGTGCCAGATACTGAACGAATTTGTTCCCATAAAGAATATTGTGAATTAGATTAGTCCATTTCAGACCCCCAAACGCACATGTACAAACGCACTTACATAAATACACCTACATAATTGGTTGCATTGGGAGGTGATCGTAAAGCGGGGGTCCACTGTTTAGTGTAAACTACCTAGGATAACCCAAAAAATTCAGACAAAGTGCTATACTCCTAGGTAGTTGGTTGGTAGACAGCAACCACCCAGGGAGGTACTACCGTCCTGCCAAGTGAGTGAAAAACGAAAGCCTGTAATTGTTTTACATGATGGTAGGATTCCTGGTGTCCATTTTTCTGTCTCATAAACATTCAAGGTTTCAGGTACGTCTTGCTACTTCTACTTACACTTAGGTCACACTACACATACATGTACAAGCATATATATACACACCCCGCTGGGTTCTCTTCTATTTTCTTACTAGTTCTTGTTCTTGTTTATTTCCTCTTACTTCCATGGGGAAGTGGAACAGAATTCTTCCTCCGTAAGCCATGCGTGTTGTAAGAGGCGACTAAAATGCCGGGAGCAAGGGGCTAGTAACCCCTTCTCCTGTATATATTACTAAATGTAAAAGGAGAAACTGTCGTTTTTTCTTTTGGGCCACCCCGCCTCGGTGGGATACGGCCGATGTGTTGAAAGAAAAGAAAGAAAGTGCTATACTCTGCTTGAAGATGTGAGCAAACATGATGGACGATGCAGTCTTGTGGCTCTCTCTGAGACAGAGAGCTAGACGGATAGACAGATAGACAGGGAGCTTGACAGACAGACAAATAGACAGACAGACATGTTTGTGTACCAGCAAAAACAAAGTGAGGGCAATGCTCATCAAATATCACCTCTAATCTTTTTTTATCAGCTGCACCCTCCCCCACCCTCGTGTATGCTCATCAAACGTCAGCTCTTATCAGTTGTTTTCTCATCTTATTATGTCACTGTCAGGGGTGGACTTTGTTTTTCATGCTTCAAGGGAACTTATTATTACCAATTATTATTATTATTATTATGTATTCTTCTCCTCCTCCTCCTCCTCCTTCTCCTTTCTCCCCTCCTCCTCCTCCTCCTCCTCCTTCTCTTCCTCCCTCTCCTTCTTCTCCTATATCTCCTCCTCCTCCTTCTCCTCTTCATCTTTCTACTCCTCCTCCTTATTGTTATTATATACTTCCACATATCCAAAACATTGCTGGGACATATAAATACACCTACCATCCGACTTACGACCGAGTTCGGTTCCAAG